CAAAATCAACAGAATCCACCAGTTCAACGTCAACAGAACCCCCAAGTTCAATATCAACAGGACCCCCTAGTTCAACATCAACAAAACACCCTAGATCACCATCAATAGAACTCCCTAGTTCAAAATCAACAGAAGGCCCCAGTTCAAAGTCAGCATAACCCCCCAGTTCAACATCAACAGAACCCCCTAGTTCAAAATCAACAGAACCCACAAGTTCAACATCAACAGAACCCGCAGTTGAACATCAACAGAACGCCCAAGTTCAACATGAAAAGAATTCCCAGTTCAACATCAACAGAATTCCAGTTCAACATCAACAAAACCCCAGTTCAACATCAACAGAACCCAAAGTTCACCATCAAAAGATGTCCCTAGTTCAACATCAACAGAACTCTCAGTTTAACATCAACAGAACCCTCTAGCTCAACATAAACAGAACCCCCTAGTTCAACATCAACATAACCCATAGCTCAACATCAACAAAACCAACTAGTTCAACATCAACCGAACCCTCAGTTCAACATCAACAGTACCCCTAGCTCAACATCAAGAGAACCCCCAGTTCAAAAGGAACAGAACTCCCCAGTTCAACATCAACAGAACCCCCAGTTCAACTTCAACAGAACTCCCTAGTTCAATATCAACAAAACCTTCTAGTTCAACATCAACAAAACCCCCTAGCTCAACATCAACAGAACTCTAGTTCAATATCAACAAAACCTTCTAGTTCAACATCAACAAAACCCCCTAGCTCAACATCAACAGAACCCCCTTCTTTAACATCAATAGAAGCTAAAGTTCAAAATATACAGAATCCCCAGTTCAACATCAACAGAACCCTCTAGTTCAACATCAACAGAACCCGCCTGTTCAATATCAACAGAACCCCCTACTTCAATATCAACAGAAACTCCTAGTTCAATATCAACAGAACCCACAATTTCAACTTCAACAGAAACCCCTATTTCAATATCAACAGAACCCCCAGTTCAACATCAACAGAAGCTCCAGTTCAAAGTAAACAGAACCCTCAGTTCAACATCAACAGAACCCCCAGTTCAACATCAAAAGAAGCCCCTAGTTCAACATCAATAGAACCCTCAGTTCAACATCAACAGAACCACCTAGTTCAACATCAACAAAACCCCCAGTTCAACCTCAATAGAACCCCCAGTTCAACATCAACAAAACCCCTAGCTCAACATCAACAGAACCCCCTAGCTCACCATCAACAGAACTCCCTAGTTCAAAACAAATAGAACCCACCAGTTCAACATCAACAGAACTTCCCAGTTCAACATCTACAGAACACCCTAGTTCAACATCAAAAGAACCCTCTAGTTCAAAATCAACAGAACTCTTCAGTTCAACATCAACAGACCCCCAGTTCAAGTTCAACAGAACCCCCTAGCTCAACATCAACAGAACCCCTGAGTTCAAAATCAACAGTATCCCCTATGTTCAACATAAACAGAATGCCCATTTCAACATCATCAGAACCCCCTAGTTCAAATTCTACAGAATCCCCCAGTTCAACGTCAACAGAACTCCTCAGTTCAATATCAACAGAACCTCCTAGTTCAACATCAACAAAACCCCTAGCTCACCATCAATAGAACTCCCTAGTTCAAAACAACAGAACCCCCCAGTTCAACATCAATAGAACCCCTCAGTTCAACATCAACAGAACCTTCCAGTTCAACATCAACAGAACTCCCTAGTTCAAAATCAACAGAACCCCCCAGTTCAAAATCAACAGAACCCCCAGTTCAACATCAACAGAATGTCCTATTTCAACATCAAAAGAACCCCCAGTTCAACATCAAAAGAACCCCCAGTTCAACTTCAACAGAACCCCTAGTTCAACATAAAAAGAACCCCCATGTTTAACATTAACAGAATGCCTAGTTCAACATCATCAGAATTTACTAGTTCAAAATCAACAGAATTCCCCAGTTTAACATCAACAGAACCCCCAGTTCAATATCAGCAGAACACCCCAGTTCAACATCAACAGAAACCCTAAGGTAAACATCAACAGAACCTCCTAGATCTATAGCAACAGAACCCCCTAGCTCAACATCAACAGAACCCCCTAGTTCAATATCAATAGAACCTCCAGTTCAAAATATACAGAACCCCCAGTTCAACATCAACAGAACCCCAGTTCAACTTCAACAGGAGCCCCAGTTCAACGTCAACAGAACAGCCAGTTCAACATCAACGGAACCCCCCAGTTCCATATCAACAGAACCCACACCTCACCATCAACAGAACTCCCAAGTTTAAAATCAATAGAACCCCACAGTTCAACATCAATAGAACACCCTATTTCAACATCAACATAACCCCCATTCAACATCAACAGAACCCACATTTCAACGTCAACAGAACCCCATATCAACATCAACAGAACCCCTAGCTCAACATCAACAGAACCCATAGCTCAACATCAACAGAACCCCATAGTTCAACATCAACAGAACCCCCTAGCTCAGCATCAACAGAACCCCCCAGTTCAACATCAACAGAACCCTCTAGCTCAATATCAACAGAACCCCCCAGTTCAACATCAACAGAATCCCCTAGTTCAATATCAACAGAACTCCCCAGTTCAACATCAACAGAACCCCCCAGTTTAACATCAACAGAATCCCCAGTTCAACATCAATAGAACCCTCTAGTTCAACATCAACAGAACCTTCTAGCTCAGCATCAACAGAACTCCTTAGTTCAACATCAATAGAATCCCTAGTTCAACATCAACAGAGCCCCTCTGCTCCCCTGCCTCTGTTCCAAACAATTGATCCGAGTTTGCTTGAGTTTTGTTTCATCTTCTGGATTCAGAGTTCATGCTTCTGGAACACATTTCTACATGTAGATCTTTTCTTCCTGCTCATGACGTTAATGCAAACCTCCAAACCAATGGGCTAGAGTCACATTGCTACGAGCCGTATTTCTCCTTGAATAATCACTGCAAGAACTCATTGCGATGCATTAGTTAAAAAGTAGGGGCCAGCAAATTCAATTCGTGGGAACCCTGCTGAAAAAGGGTGCCATGATAGTGTGCATCTGTAACCCCAGCACTCTTAAAAGACAGGTGAGAGTCAGACAAGAGAATCACCGAGAAGCCGAAGGCCAGCTTTCTGGAGTATAGTGGAGTCAAGAGAGACCCTGCTCACCAAGGGAGGAGAGCAGTGACTCCCCAAAGCTGTCTTCTTGCCTCCAAATGTAAGGCATGGTACATGTATACCTGTTTTTTCTCTCTCTCCTCTTTCCATGTCTCTTCCCTCTCTCCATCTCTCTTTCCTCTCTTCATCTCTCTCTTTCTCTGTTTCTCTCTCACACACATATAACTTGAACACACAAACACAAACACCAGTAAACAAAGAATGAGTGACCCAAAGAGAGAAGACATAGTTGAGTCATGAATAACATATCAAGGGGGCAACATGGGAACCCATACAACCAATCTCATCATGATATATACTAGAACCATGAAGCATACTCAAGTCCTGACTCTCTAGCCCCTAGGTAGGTACTCTGTCCTACCTGAAGGCTTCTCTAGAGAAGTCAAGGTTTCACGAAGTGAGCCTAATAAACCAGACTTGATTCAGGGTCATTTATCCTTGTCTGGGTTCAGAAGAACTGCTGAAACCAAACCAGCGACAATCTCCTGGTCAAGTTCTCTGGACTTGTCAGTTAATGTTGGCACTGTGTGATGGATGCTGCAAACAGTTAAGTCCCAGGGCTACCCATGTTTCATGGATGACAAGAAGGCATGCATGTACTGCTTATCAGAGTGTGATCAGGATGGGGAAGGTGCTCTCGCCCACAGACTAAGTGTACAGCAGCACCTTCAGGGAGCCCCAGCCAAATGGACCATTCACTGGACGGCACCTGATCTTTCAGCACAGTTTCAGGACTCAAGTGGCCCAAGTTTACTTTCCTTATAGTCAAGGAAACCTGGGCTAAATCAAGCATGACTTCAATACTAGCTAATTGGCTTTAAGTTTAGAGCTCAAGAAAGCAAAGGCTGGATCACTTCTTTCAAGTAGTTTCAATTTAGGAGATTCTGCAGACTGTACCTTGCTCAGACGCTCAAGGCCAAATTCATGCTACATTGCCAGGCTTTCTCTTAAAATTTATAGTGGGGCTGGCGAGATGGCCCAGAACTCAAGGGGATTTGCTGCTCTTCCAGGGGACCAGTTTGATCCCCAACGTGTAATCCCTGCAAAGCTCACGGTCCCTTGGATTCCCCGTTGGAGGAATCTGACACCCTCTTCTGGCCAATCTGGGCACTGTGCGCATATGAACCTCCCCCACCCACAATTAAAAATCAAAATATAAAATTTGTTACAAAGAAAACAAGAAAGAGAGAGAGAAAGAAAAAAGAAAGGGAGGAAGGAAGAAACAAAGGAAGGAAGGAAAGATACAATGGCTTTGGCCATGACTCTGTTTTCTGAGTTAAGGCTAATCACATTTTCTAAAATTCTTGGAGTTTTGTGGTCTACAATGGTTTATGCTTATTTCACCGACAGGACTTTTGTTCCATTTAAAATGCAAATACAACAGATATAAACAGAAATATAACAGATCCGTTCATTATAGATACATCAAAGGTAGATTCAATAGAACTTCATAATTTCCCACATTCTTCCTAAAAATAATTTATGATGAGAGAAATATATGGTTCCCTTTCTAAATGAAATGATGTAAAATGTGGGGACAGAGAGATGGCTCAGCATTTAAGAGCACTTGCTGCTCTTCCAGAGGATCAGGGTTCACATCCCAACAGCCACATCAAGAGGCTCACAATCACACGACACTACAACTTCAGGAACCATTGCTCGCTTTTCTCCTCTGTAGACACCCACACACACATAAATAAAGTAAATGTAAATCTTTTTGAGTATCTTCGTGACAAACAAAAAGTCAGTACCATTTAATATTGGCTTGGGTTGAAAAACCGACAGAGACGCCAACCAAGACAAACTTACCTGGTAGCTTCTTGTGGCTTTTCAGAAAGCTTTAGGTTGCCCTCCTTTACTGCAAAGAGAAAACAGAAAAAGGTTCTGGTGACTTGGAACTGGAAGAGGTGGTGCTATGTGCATTCTTCCCAAAGCCTCTATAAAATCACGGTATAGGGATTAAAAAAAAATATTGCACACAACATCGAGGAAGTGGAAGAAAACTGACAAGAAAGAATGTCAAGATGGAAAGCAGATGTCAAGTGGCAACCGTGCTGGCAGGTCCTGGGAAGCGGAAACGTAACTGCGCGACCAGGAAAGGCCAACAGACAGCAAGCAGAGCTGGCAAGCGGAGCTGTGCTCCAGAAAGAACTCAGGGCCCAAAGGTGCCAGGTAACTCTGAGAGGAGACGTGGGGGGGGGGCACAGACCTGCACTTTCCACCCTCAGGATGCTCACCCTCTGCAGAGACAGTCGTGGAGACTCAGGGCTGAACAGCAGCGTGGAGGACAGAGAGCGGGAAGAAGTAGACTCCTCCTCTGAGGGACCGCGAAGGAGATGTTCAGACACAGGAAAAAACCAAAACAAAACAGATTTTATCCCAGTGAGAGAAACAAAGATAAAAGCTTCAGAAATTCCTGAAGGAACTGAAGAGTACTGGGAAAGAGCAGGGGGAATAGAAAGACACACCATGACACCAAGAGACAAGCAGAACACACTACAGCTGCCTTGGCATTGGTCCCTGGTGGAGGAGGGGACACCGAAGGCCTAGAATAGACAGGCAGGCCTACCTTCAAAACAAGCATACAGTTCCCACAAGCCTCAAATCTAGTTGCAGGTGTTGGCGCGACAGTGATTCCTTGGAGTAGCGTCAGTGGAGGAGAGATTCCATTTTGTCATGCAGCAGTGGGCCTTTCTATTGTTAGCAACTGAGATTAGGGAAGGCCCACGGGTTGGAAAGACTCTTAGGGGCCTGTCCTGGCCCCTGTGGAGGGGAGGGAAGACACAGAGGGGCAGTAGAGAGCATCAGGGCCTGACACTGAGGATAGACAGGTACAGGCAGCAGGAGGGGAGCTCAGGCTGAGGAGGAGGAGGAGGAGGAGAGCCAGAGCCTGACCCCTGGAGTCTAGGAACACAGGTCATCAACTAAGAAGGCTCTGGAGCTTGGTGGCTTTGAGCCTGAGGTCAGGAGGGGGTCAAATTCTGAAGTTATGCAGTTGTCACTCGGGGGGCGGAGCCTGAGAATTCTGAAGTCCCAGTCCACAGCAGCTTTCTCCAGCAGAGAAACCAACACTGGGGAAGCCCTGAAAGTCCAAAGGCAGGTCCTTTGCTTGTACACATTTTAGTGCTGTGGTCACTTCCTATGCTCCGTGGGAGACACCCTTTGGCTAAAATGTCACCCAGGACAAGGCCACACCCGCTAAACCTGCTCATTGTTCCCAAACAGTTCTTCTACCAACTAGGGAGCAAATATGAGCCGCGGAGGGCCATTCTCATTCAAACCACCTCCCCCATAGAATGTTCTTTTTCTCTCCCATAATGCCCTTTACTATTCTCCACATTCTCTCTCCTCTTATGAGCTGACTTCCCGCCCCCACCCGCTTTTCCCTTCCCCTCCCTGCATCTCAGCCATCCACTAACCCCACACCTAACTCATTTCTAACGTCACGGAACATGCTACAGGAGTTTGTCACTTTGAGTTTTGTGGTCATTGGTGAATATTAGTGAATTGCCATTGATTTTAAGTGTCATAGAACTGCTCATCTCCTTGCTGGGCAAACACTTGGCAAAAGCAACTTGAGAAAGGAATGGTTTCATTTGGCTCACAGTTTGAAAACAGTCCGCTGTGGCAAGGAAGGCAAGAAAGAAGAAGCTGGAGACAGCAGTTCACATTGCAACTAGTCACCTAGCAGAAGCAGCTCACATTGCAACCAGTCAGCTAACAGAAGCAGCTCAGGCTTCATCCACAGTCACCTAGCAGAGCGTGATGAATGCTGGAACTTAGCTCCTATTCTCCATTTTATTCAGTTCAGCAGTCAGGGGAGTTTTTCCCACCTCAATTAACCTATACTACAAAATCTCTCACAGATAAGCCTAGAGATTTGTCTCTGAGGTAATTGTAGATCCTGTTAAGGTGACCACACACACACACACACACACACACACACACACACCACAGATACACATAGACATACGTGTGTATGCATGCAGATTTGTGCACAGATAGGCACACACATATAAATACGTCACCACAGTATATTTCCATGTTTTGTTGGTTGATGTTGCTGGTGCAGGGGTTTATCTTCTCTTGGTTGAGCATCACTGGGGATTCAGCTCCCAAGAGTATGTTGCTAAGAAAGATTACATGCCCGCATCCCAAATCCAGAAGCATTAACTAACCAACCAATATACATACTGTGAGGCAGACATGCGGGAAACTTGAAACGGTAGCATGACTCCTAGAAAAGTCCTTACCTCCTTAGTTCCTGCTGAAGTAAGCAAGATTTTGGGCAGAGATTTCAAAGATTTTACCCAACAATGATTAGTGACCTGAGAGAGAGTGCGAACAAGTGCGTGAGTTCAATCCAGACATAGAGAAGAAAGTCAGCCACAGAGAAGAGAGTGTCAGAAATCTGAATAAGAAACAAGCCATATGGTTGAAGAAAAAGTCAGTAACATGGAAGAAAACTTCATGTTTCCTTGAAATTAAATTGAGATTTTTAAAAAGAGTTTGAAGGGAGAAAAAAAAATCAATGAATCAACATCATTTCTATGGAAAACATCAATAGACTCGATCAAGCAGAAGAAAGAATGTCAAGACAGGTTGATGAAATGCTGTACTAATAAGAAAAGTATCAAATGGGATGTGATGGAATGACCATGACATCTACTGATACAGTCAGGGACAAAACCTGGCCAACAAGATGCTCAGTAGTTAAGGGTGCTTACTGCTCAAGCCTGGAGTCCACATAAAGGTGGATGGAGAGAACCAACTCCATGAAGTTGTGCTCCGACCTCCACATGCATTCAGCAGCCTGTGTGTGTTGACACTGCACGTCCCATAATAATAATAAATGAAACTGAAATCGAGAAAAGACTAAGAATACAAAGAATAGAAAGATGCATAGAGAATTGTCAAAGAAATGGTAACAGGAAATTTGCCAAAACCAGAGAAAGAAAAACACATTTGAACATAAGAAGCATTTAGTATCCAAAATAGACATGACCAGAGAAGAATTTCACAATGTATTATAGTCAAGACATCAAAAATACAAAACAAAGACACAACATCAATAGCTGTAAGAGGGTGAATCCTTAAAAATAATTACCAACTGTCTTAGGGTTTCTATTGCTCGGAAGAGATACCATGACTATGGCAACTCTTTTAAAGGAAACCATTTATTGGTGGCTTACAGTTTCAGAAGTTCAGTCTATTATTCTTATGCTGTGACATAGTGGTGTGTAGGCAGACATGAGACTCTTACATCTTGACTTAGAGGCAACAGGAAGTGGTCTCCCTCATTGGGTGTGGCTTGAGCATAGGGAACCTCAAAGCCCATTCCCACAGTGACAAACTTCCTCCAACAAGGCCACATCTCCTGTTAGTGCCACTCCCTTTGGGGGGCCAGTTTTCTTTAAACCACCACACCAACCAAGACCGCTATATCCATCAGTGCTATTAAAAAAAAATCAGACATTTCAAGACAAATTCAAATAAAACAGTTTTGTGGTCACTAAGTCAGCATTGCTAAAAGCAATAAAAAAATTTAATAGAGAAAGGACTGAGCGAGACAATCTTCATTATGAGAGGATGGCATAGAATAGATTTCAGGAGGGAATAATGGAACAAAGGAAAGCTGGGGGGAATCCATCAATCTCACACAGTAAGGCAACAAATCCTTGGTACTAATAGAGGAAAACATAAAGAAAACAATAATCCAACCAGAAAAACAGTCAGAAAATTACAGAAATTAGTAAATCTTTCTATATAATAACACAAAATGTAAATGGCTTCAGCTCACCAATAAAGACACATGGATTCAAAAGCTAAATGCAAACTTCTGCTGTCTCTGAGACATGCACCTCACTGGAAGACACCCACAGGCTGAAAATCAGAGGTCAGAAAGAAATCCAGCAAGTGAACAGAAACTAAAATCCTCTTGCACGGCTGATAAAGTGACTTCAGGTTGAACTGCGTCAGAGAGACAGAAACTGGGAGTACGCACTACTAACAGAGATAACCCATCAAGAATATATAAGAATTGTAAATACATATGCTCTAAACCACGTGATGTGTAGTTTTAGAAGATAAACACCAATGGATGCAAAGCACAGATGGGTGCTGATGCAGAAATAGTGGCTGATTTCATTATTCCACTCTTCTCTCTAGATTCATTCCAACTTAAAATCAACAAGTGGAACCCCAGAGTTAACCTATACTATAGGTCAAACAGACTAACTGTTACAGACTATTTCATCCAATGGAAACAATATTCTTCTTTTATCAGCAACCTACTGAACTTTCTGTCAGTATGGAGATCACATTCTAGGTGGGAAAAATCAAGTTTCACCAAATACAAAGCAGTCAAAATAATCTCATATATTATTAAATTATAGTAGAGTAAAATCAGAAATCAATAGCACGAAAACAGCAGAAACAACACAACTAAATGGAGACTGAACAGTACATTCTCTAAAGGACTGGTGAGTCGCTGAAGAAACGAAACAAATCCTAACACAAAAGCATCAGGTGGTGAGAAAGAGTGAAGATCATGGAAGAAATTAATGAAAAAAGAATAATGCATAGGTTCAATCAAAGAGTTGGTTCTTTGAAAAATAAATATAAGATTGATGGATCCTTAGTCAAATAACCAAAATAAAGAGAACATCCAAATTAATGGGATGAGAGATCTAAAAAAAGGAGGTTAAGACAAATTCCACTGAAAAAGCAGAGACTCATTAGGGAGTGCTTTGGAAACTTATCCTTCCAAAAATCTGGGAAATCTAGAAGAAATATAAATTCTTGATACATATGACCTACCAAAGTTAAGTCAAGAAGATTTAAACCACTTAAACAGAT